TCAATAATCAGACCAACAATTTGACCAACAGTCTGATCAATAATCAGACCAACAATTTGACCAACAGTCTGATCAATAATCAGACCAACAATTTGACCAACAGTCCGATCAATAATCAGACCAACAATTTGACCAATAGTCTGAATAAGTCTGACCAACAATCTGAACAATCTGACCAACAGACTCAACAACAGTTGGACCAATAATCAGACCAACAATCGGACCAGCAATCTGACCAACAGTGTGCACAACAATCTAACAGCCTGAACAACAATCTAACCAACAGTCTGACCAACAATCAGACCAATAATCGAACCAACAATCTAAGTAAAAGTCTGAACAACAATCTAACTAACAGTATGACCAACAGTGTTGATCAGGTGTATTGATCAGGTGTATTGATCAGGTGTATTGATCAGGTGTATTGATCAGGTGTATTGATCAGGTGTTTTGATCAGGTGTATTGATCAGGTGTAATGATCAGATGTAATGATCAGGTGTATTGATCAGATGTATTGATCAGGTGTATAGATCAGATGTATTGATCAGGTGTATTGATCAGGTGTAATGATCAGGTGTATTGATCAGATGTATTGATCAGATGTATTGATCAGGTGTAATGATCAGGTATAATGATCAGGTGTATAGATCAGGTGTATTGATCAGGTGTATTGATCAGGTGTATTGATCAGGTGTGTTGATCAGGTGTGTTGATCAGGTGTATTGATCAGGTGTATTGATCAGGTGTANATTTGACCAACAGTCTGATCAATAATCAGACCAACAATTTGACCAACAGTCCGATCAATAATCAGACCAACAATTTGACCAATAGTCTGAATAAGTCTGACCAACAATCTGAACAATCTGACCAACAGACTCAACAACAGTTGGACCAATAATCAGACCAACAATCTGACCAACAGTCCGATCAATAATCAGACCAACAATTTGACCAATAGTCTGAATAAGTCTGACCAACAATCTGAACAATCTGACCAACAGACTCAACAACAGTTGGACCAATAATCAGACCAACAATTTGACCAACAGTCCGATCAATAATCAGACCAACAATTTGACCAATAGTCTGAATAAGTCTGACCAACAATCTGAACAATCTGACCAACAGACTCAACAACAGTTGGACCAATAATCAGACCAACAATCAGACCAACAATCAGACCAACAGTCTGAATAATAGTCTGAACAACAATCTAACTAACAGTATGACCAACAGTGTTGATCAGGTGTATTGATCAGGTGTAATGATCAGGTGTGTTGATCAGGTGTATTGATCAGGTGTAATGATCAGGTGTGTTGATCAGGTGTATTGATCAGGTGTGTTGATCAGGTGTATTGATC